CTCCTGTTCTTGTTTTTGCTGACTGTACAGAGCTTCTCCATCTTCTGCTGAAAAAATATAATCAATCTGAATTCAGTATTGACCATCTGATGATGTCCACTTGTAGAGTCATCTCTTGTGTTGTTGGAGGAGTGTGTTGGCTATGACCAGTGTGTTGTCTTGGCAAATCTCTGTTAATACTTCATTTTGTACTCAAAGGCCAAAATTGCCTGTTACTCCAGGTATCTCTTGACTTTTGCATTCCAGTCCCCTGTGACGAAAAGGACATCTTTTTTGGTGTTAGTTCTAGGAGGTCATCATAGAACCGTTCGACTTCAGCTTCTTTGGCATTAGTGGTTGGTGCATAAACTTGGATTACTGTTTATTGAATGGTCTGCCTTGGATATAAACAGAGATCATTCTGTCGTTTTTGAGATTGCACCCAAGTACTGCATTTCAGACTCTTTTGTTCACTATGAGGGCTACTCCATCTCTTCTAAGGGATTCTTGCCTACAACAGTTGATGTAATGGTCACCTGAATTCTATTCACCATTCTGGTCCATTATAGTTCTCTGATTCCCAAAACGTCAATGTTCACTCTTGCCATCTCCTGTTTGCCCACTTCCAATTTGCCTTGATTCATGGACCTAACACTCAAGGTTCCTGAGCAATATTGTTCTTACAGCATCAGACCTTGCTTCCATCACCAGTCATATCCACACCTGGGAGTTGTTTTTGGTTTGGCTCCATCTCTTCATCCTTTCTGTTTCTATTTCTCCATTTTTCTCCAGTAGCATATTGAGCACCTACCGACCTAGGGAATTCATCTTTCAGTGTCGTATTTTTTTGCCTTTTCATACTGTTCATGGGGTTCTCAAGGCAAGAATGCTGAAGTGGTTTGCATTCCCTTCTCCAGTGAACCACGTTTTGCCAGAACTCTCCACCATGACCTGTCCATCTTGGGCGGCCCCACATGGCATGGCTTTAGTTTCACTGAGTTAGACAAGGCTGTGGTCCATGTGATCAGTTTGGTTAGTTTTCTGTAAGTGTGGTTTTCTTTCTGTCTGTTGTCTGATGGACAAGGATAAGAGGCTTGTTGAAGTTTCCTGATGGAAGAGAATGTTTGTTGGGGAATACCTATGTAGTTAGATATGTCTAATTAAAACAGAAAAATGATATATTCTTCAAAATAAAATTTATTAGAAACTTTGTTTTTAAACATGTTATTTTTAAGAAGACAAATAACAAAGGAATTCTAAGAAGTAAAGGCACTTAGAAGTATCTCTCAAAGATGCAATGTTCAGCAATATAAATGAAGTGTAAGGTGAAATTTGCTCACGGAGTTAAGAGTGTTGTTTCAGTGTGCTACTAACTCTGGTTAAAGAAAGAAAATAGCAAAGGACCTTTCAATGATAAAGAACGTAAGCATTATCAGTATAAGAGGTGAGAGTGTTGGAGAGGAAACCATGTAATTCGAGCCTAAGGATGTAAAAGCAGTTTGAACAAAATTCTGTAATGTGAAGACGAGTGGGAAGTGGGACCAGGACAAGCATATTCTTCAAAGTCACAGTGACCAATGAGAGAAACTAACCTCTAACAACAAACACAAGCATGCTACAGCTGTTGGATAAAACAAAGGCAGACAAGAGGGTTCTTTTATGATCCAACAAAAATTCATCAGTTCATCCTGGAGAAGCATTTTATGCCTATTCATAACAGGTCCATTGGTGACGGCATATAACAATGAGTTTAAAACCAGACAAAAGTGGAAAGCAGTAACTGTTACGGAACAGTACAAGACTCAAGGCACAAATTCTGGAGAAGTCTAATGCCTGATGGGCCACCAATTTCCTCAGCCTACAGTGTGAGGCCAAATATTTCCAACTAGTGCCTCCAATTTGAACTTTATTCCCCACATGAGTCCTACAGGAAATAAAAATCCATTACAGAGAGGTACGGACTCTCTACGCCTCCCCTTAACCCTCACCTCACCACAAGGGTTTGCATTAATAGACATCTAATTTTAAAAGTGAACATTATACATTGATTATTAGTAGAGAAATGCAAATCAAAGTTACAATGAGGTATCACCTCACACTAGTCAGAATGGCCATCATTAAAAAAATCGATAAATGGTAAATGCGAGAAAGGATATGGAGAAAAGGGAACCCTCTTGCACTGTTGGTGAGAATGTAAATTGATACAGCCACTATGGAGAACAGTATGTATATTCCTTAAAAAACAAGGAGTATGACCCAGCAATCCCACTCCTGGGCATGTACTCTGAGAAAACCACATCTGAGGAGACACGGGTACTTCAATATTCAACACCCCAGTGTTCACTGCAGCAGTTTGTACAACAGCTAGGAAATGGAAGCAGCCTAGAAGTCTGTTGTATTCATGTGATTTTCCAGAACAACCTTCAACATATGAAAGTTCCACATCTAACCCTAATACTTTCATACTAACTCACTGAAATTAGCATAGTTTCCGAAGTTGAATCGTATGGAATTAAACAGCAACCTGAGATCAGAAGACATTGACAAACAGACATTTATGTGGCAGTAATTTCCAGCAGTCTTGACACTGTGGTCTTTCTAAATGTCTACTGTATAGCACTTTTCTCTCAATTAAAAAAAAAAAGGGACACAGTGTCTAAAATTCAAGGACTATAACCATAAAGAAAGGAAGAAAAAATTTGCCTGCAAAATTGTTCTTCCCTTATAGTCTTCTTTATGCTTTTTTTTATTCTAAAGAAAATTCCCTCTCCAGATTATTTATTCAAATAAAGTGTTTTATACTTAGCCATAACAATTTTAATTTAGTACGATGTGAATAGGAGTGTGTGTGTGTATGTCTGTGTATGTAGGAAGTGTGTGGTAGCAGCTACTTCTAGGAGCCATGTGAACTCTGAAACAAACTATAGCTCTCACTTTACCACCCTCCACCTTGAACCTTTCTCCACTCAAACACTTTTCCCTCTGCCCACCACCTATTAAGGATGCTAAGTTACCCACAGATATCCTACCAGATCTAAGGCAGATGTGGAATTAGATGTGATTCAAACCATACATTATGGACTTGGTCTCTTTCTACATTTGCCCAGAGTGGGGAATAGAAACAGCAAAAGAATGCAGAGTTATCATGAAGACTGGCTGATATATGTAAGGCATTTGGAAAAATAGTTTGTTCATAGAAAATATTCAGTATCTGATGGGTATTATTATTTTATAATTTTATGCATAATTGTGTCATGGATCCTCAAGACCACCCTTGGGTTTGATCATTTGTTGGAAGGAGCCACAGAACTCAGAAATGTTGTTATACTCGCTGTTACACTTTCTTACAGGGAAAAGATACAGAGTAAAATCACAGTTGTCTTCTCCCAGGAGAGTTTCATTATTCCAGCAACATGTCAAAACACATGTGATATGATGTACTGCCAAGAAGGAAAGTTCAACCAAGCCTTGATACCAAGAGTTATTGAGGAGGTCAGTCATGCAGACCAGAATATAGACCCCAAAAACAAGTGTTCACAATAAATAACATTTTTTGCATAACTATCCAGCTTGGCCCCAGGTCCGGGTATACAAAAACTGCTTTATTGGGCAGGATATTCCAAGAGTTTATAGTTGTTCTCCCCAGAGCCAGTAAAGGACCAGCAATTTCTTTGAAATGTGCAGGGTCTGAGTATCTCAAGTCTACTAAGTTAACCTTTCATGGCATAATAATTTATTAAGCAACTACCATGTACCAAGAGCTGTGATACTTAATACTTATCTCATTTAGTATTTAAATACTACCATGAAAAAAGAATTAACATTCCCTTTTACAATTATGGGAACTGAAGCTCAAAAATGTTAAAAGTATTTATAGTCATATTACTAGTGTGGAATCCAAACCTTGTTCTCTCAAACTGCAAAGCCTTTGCTATTCTTACTAAACCATGTTGACTCATAAAACATAAAAATTAAAGTAGCAAAAAAAAAAAATTAAAGTAGCATATTATGCAGTATATCACACATATAAACACATAATAAGTATATCTAATAGTCAAAGTTGTTTCTGCTAGTGAAAAAATAATTTTGAAAAACACTGTGAATTTATGGAGGAAATAAATTAGACTTGTGAACCAATTTTCATTTAAAATATTGACTTTATTGAAAGGCTATCTAGTCATAACCAGGTGATTATAACTAAGTCCAATAAATTCAGCAATAAAGCTTTCCTAAAATTAAAACTAAATTCAACCTTCTTTAAATTCAATCTTTTTTTCCTTTACACCTCAAAAGTTTTTAATCCCCATAAACATTTGCTGAAACACAAAAGTGACTCACCCATCTATTACGAACAATGTAATTTTTCATTGTAGAAATGAAAATGTATCACCAGTTTCCCTAGGGAGACAACAATGCTTTCTCACTTTAATACGTGTGTGGGTTTTTTCCCCCATTTAATCAGCTAATACTTTTCAAAAGATCTTTTTAATGCCTAAATGAAAGGATTCCACATCAGAGACCTGACCTCCCTATTAAAGCATCTAAAGGAAACCCTAGGAACTCAAAATCCATTCAAAGGCAAATCACAGGTAGCTTATTGTACAATGCATTAAGAAAAGAAAAGGGAAAAAAAGCTTCATAAAAACTGTACAGAATTTGGTGAAATTATACCACAAAAATAAAAATTGATCTTAAGCATAAAGAAACAAATTCAGAGCCAAAAACTTATTACAAAAGTGCTTTGTAATCAGCCAGGAGGGGAGTCTTTATGAAAAACTTCAGAATTTGTCACTTTTTCAATCAAAATTTCTGATTACAACTTAATGTTGGGAAGGCCCAAAAGAGAACAAAACACACATTTTTCAATAGATTTAAAAATCTAAAAAATTTAAAGCTAACTTTCAACATCAGAAAAGATAAGTTTTACTATAGACAACAGGGGCAGAATGAATTACTAAACAGTAAATGAAGTAATATAGATTTAAATACTTTAAAAAAACAAATTAAGATTTTTAACGTACCATAAACATGGTTCTGAAGTTATTCAAATCAGTCAAGAAGTCTTCTAGGGAAACCTTCTTCACGTCGATGGCGTAGTACGCCATTATATTCTGGTATAACTTGTCCATGTTTTCATGCAATTTTGAAAGTTTCTCATATTGTTCTTTTGCACTGATAACAAAGCTGTATATTACAGTTAAGGTACTCTGAAATTTACAAAGAAATGTTTTAGGGAAAAAAAATATCCTTAAGGCATATGTTTTAATTGTTAGCCATTATTACACATCTCCAAAATGCCAAAACTAGCTCTAATAGTTAACCATTTTTACAATTCAATCCATACTGTACAGTGATGAAATCTTCAGGGTGATTCCTAATTAACAGTGGAAAAACAATCAGAAAAGTTAAATATTTATATATTTAACATTTTGCTTTTATGATTGGGTTCAAGGATATTTTTCTTCTAATTTGCCTATCTTATCAGATGTCATAATATGATTTAAAATTATAGTTCAGTAGTTTCAATGATATTCAAATGTCTCCTTATACTTGCTAAAAATCTAGATCATAATAGTACTAGTGGTGCTAATAGTGCTAAATATTAATGCATTTATATCTAGTATAACTTTTAATCCTTGGATGAACAAAAGATTTTATATACTAAAATCACAAAATCATAAGCAGCTATAATAATACATACATGTATCTCTATATACTCTGTTGTGAAACATCCACATTTGTGAAATACTGTAGGTGAAGTGAATTTATGTAAATAGAAATCACATTTGAAATGCATTCAGAAATTATCATTACATGGAACTTACGCTGATTCATTTGTAATGTGCAGTAAGCATCCCTTTATTTACCTACCAAGTTCAGAAATCAATAGTGGTTCATTTATTCAGTCTATAAACTAGAATTTATGTCTCAAATAAGACTATACCCACATGGATTATTTACATAGCCTTAACTCCCATCTAAAAGAGGAATCATTTCCTGCCTTTGCTTGTCCAAACCTATCATTGTAAGCTTAGTTCAACTCTTCCTCTTCCATGAAGCCCCCTACTCTAATCTCTGCAACTAAGCATGATCACTCGTCCCACTGAATACACAGCACTTGCCGTTCACTGTACTCTGTGCAGTGAAGTTCTTTGTTTGCCCTTCTGGTTCAATCCCCTGGCAGTGCTTTGTTCTTGCTGTCCTGGCGGCTCAGGCGGGAAAGCGTCTGCCTGTAATGCGGGAGACCCGTGTTCAATCCCTGGGTCGGGAAGATCCCCTGGAGAAGGAAATGGCAACCACTCCAGTATTCTTGCCTGGAAAACCCCATGGATGGAGGAGCCTGGTGGGCTACAGTCCATGGGGTCGCAAAGAGTGGGACACGACTGAGCAACTTCACTCACTCACACTTGCCACATCTTGGGGGCTGATCCCCTGTGACTGTCTGCCCTTTCTCTAGCTGTTGTATTAAGTCAAACCGTCTGCAACTGTATGGGTGCCGACGACTAGTTTCACTCTTCTGTCATCACTCTTAAACTGTGGTAGGAAAGGTAAGAAGTCTCACAAGTCTGACGTGAGAGCATGTATATATATATATATGACTAATTCGAAGTTGTACAGAAGAAATCAATGCAACATTGTAAAGCAATTTTCCTCTAATTACAAAATAAATTTTTTTAAGCCTGATATAAATCATGGAACTCTCTTCATAAAATCGTGCATATATACATTCATACACACACACAAACACATACAATTTGGATGCAATGTTATGGGCTAACAGAGTTCCTAAAAAGTAGCTACCCTGGACAACCGGTTGCACTGCATGGTGGGTATTCCTAACTGTATGTTCTACAGTCACTCCTATTTTGCTTCATCATGACTTATTAGGCTTTCAGGTTTTTGTTTTTTTAATTTATTTTTAATTGGAGGACAACTGCTTTATAATATTGAGTTGGTTTCTGCCATATACCAACACGAATCAGCCACAGGAAATAACAGGTACTCCACAAATACTAATAATTTTTTTCTAATACCTAGGAATATGCCCATTCATAGGAATCAGCTTGGTAAATAAGTTAAAATAAAGCCCTATTATTCAATAACACTTCTTAGATTTTCAGGGAAGAATCAAGAGTAAACAAAATATCAGAAATATGCCTGGACATACTTAAAAATAGCAAAATTCCATTAAATGATGTGATGTGAAAGAGGATCAAGAGCCAAAACAATGGAAATTATATGGTCTTGTTCTAACAGCTAGAGTTTTAAATATGCTTATCATTGTTATCTATGTAACAATTTGCTGCCAAAGGAAACGAAGTACAACTTTAAATAGTGGAATTACTAGCAAAAAATGGTAAGACTGTGATTGAATTGCAATGATGTTGGAAAGAGCCAAATGAATTCTCAGAAGTATAAAATGACCATCTGATAGAATGGAATAATGGGCTACTTTAGTGAGGCTAGTGGTGGATACTGTCTCATTAAGAGATGGCAGAACCTTCAGATAAAAAATACTCTTCATCATCTGAAAGAAAAAGCAAACACAGGTGTTCTCATGCCAATTGTTGAACTCCAGTTAGAAATTAATGCCCGTAACTTTAGTAGTAACAAGGCTTTATTTTTTCCCCAGCACAAGTCCTATATTTATAAAGAGCTTTAGAGAAAGGCAAGTTATTCAACAAAAGTTTGATAAAGTTCATTACAGAAATATTGATATATATCCAATTACATGACATTTTTGTGAAATCTATTTTCTTTTCCTTTACCAAGACTAAAGCAATATTCTGATGAACTTCTACTTGACCCAGTGGAATTTTCCCATTTGAAAGGCACATGATAACCAGATCTGTGTTCACACACATTGAACAACGTTTAGTTTTGGCCAACTGAGTAGTCAGACCAAGATTTGGGATTTAAACAAGTTCTGTTCATTCCCAAGCACTACGGCACAAATAGATTCTACCTTTATTAGCATATTATTGCATGTCTCCACCTAAGATACCTTTTACTTCCATTAATCACCTTACAAGGATGAGCTTCAACTGGTCCTACACATTTAACACCTTTAACAGATCTTCTTAATGACCCGGGACCCAGATGGCCAGGCAACCAGCTAATCTACAAGTATTCACTGAGCCCCACTGAGAATGCCTTTTCTAGGCAGTGTGGAAAACACTGGCTAACACGGTCAGCAAAGTCCCCATTTTCCATGAAACATGCATTCTAGAGAGTGGTGACAGATAGTAAATAAATGAATGAGATATTCAGACAGTAATAAGGGTGATAAAAACAAACGTTTGTGCGTGATGTTGTACAGAGTGACAAAGCCTAACATGCAGGGTAGTGAGGGAACTCCTGGCTGAGAAAGCGACAGTGACCGAGGCATGCCTGTCAAGCCCAACATAGTCAATAAAGCAAGACCTCTGCGAAGGAAGAGATCACTATAGACCTGAGGATGTACAGAGGATGAAGAGCAAGATATTTTAACCAAAGTCTTTAAAGTTTGTTGAGAATGTGTTAAATGGAAAACAAGTGAGAGAAAGCAGGGGAAAAAAGGAGGAAAGAAGACTAATTTAAGAGAAAAAATCTGCTCTTACAAATCACTCAATTACCTAACTTCCCACTCTTGCAAATGGACCATGTATTATGCAAGTTTACATTTCACTCATTCCACTCTTCCATTTTCCTTCCTAATCACACTTCAATTAAATTAAAATGTACTAAATTGCTTTACCAGAAAAATTCTGTGCTTTATGCAGTGTGAAATATAGATGTAAGTAATATGCAAGTCTTCCTCTCAAAGAATTTATTGGGACAGTTTCAGCATCTACCTAGTAATTTCTGGAGTGTCCAAAATATTGTTATACAGTGAGACAGCAAAAAAGAAACTGAAAATAAAGTGTGATTACAAAGAAGAAATTTAAAGACTAAAAAAATGGAAAAGTGACAACTTGTCATGTAAGTTCTATGGCAAATACAAAAATATCAAGCAAAATGATTTTTTTCTATGAGACTTGGGAGACAGTGGGACAAGGAGAAAAAAGAAATGCAAAGGCTTGTGCAAGGAAAATTTTGAGGGTGATGTGCTAGGATCTATTTGTTATTTTTCCTTAAAATAAGAAATATTCCAGAATGTAAAGGTCAAAAGAAAGGAATAAGCATTGCATGACACTAATCCTGGCATTTTCCCCATTTCTCATGGATAAAGAATTTAAAAAGTATGTACACCTTACGTGTAATACTTTTCGATATATAACAATATTGGTGACACTACCACAAATCACAAAACAAATTTTTCAGGCAAATACTTACAGTGAAATTACTCTAATTACACTTCTCACCAGACTTAGCAATTGAAAAGTAGGGTAATTATTACTAAAAAGTCAATGTGATAATGAAATAACTGTGCATGCCTTTTAAAGAATGTAATTTTGTCTTTTTTAATATTAAGATATGAATGTAAAGAAAACAAGTACTGGTAGAATAAAAATACAATACACTATAGTTGAGTGCTACTCATGAAATTACAACAAAATTGTATCACTATAATATAAAACAATTAACAAATTATTTAATAGTTCAGTAAATCATGATTGTTTAAATATCTATTTGCATAAACGTACCATTAATAACTTTGATAACACACACATTCTTTCAGAATTGACTGATGAACCAAACGTTTGATATGTCTTTCAACTAATAAGCACTAATACTTAAACAAACTGCCAGTGTTAATAACCCCAACTTCAGTTAAACACAGTTTAATTTAGTGTGTATTTAGTCCCCAAATTCTTCCATTTTCTTAGATGTAAGAAGCTCACAATTTGCCAATTTAATAAAATCTGTATAAATGTATTTAATATTCAAAATCTGACTTGTTGTCAGTCCTAATTAAACAAAGCTTTGCAATGAATGAATTTAATTACTTAGAAACTAGTATGTCTAAGATGAAGAGCAAACGAGTGCAATCTAATCTCAGCAAAGAATATTTATGATTATAAGCTTTGTCAATAGCAAAGTGCACCAACTGTTCATATATTTGACTTCCAAGAGATACATGAATGCTAATCAGTTCATTAGAGGCATCTAGGTTGTGATATTTAGCGACAGGATGTAGGAGCTTTCTTGTCCATGGAGTATAATTGTACTCAAAATGAAAAACTGTTTCCAACAAAGCTTCATCCTTCCTGTTTCTGATTTCCTGCTGGCTGCTTTTTATGAGCTGCATACCTTTCAACAAGCCAACATCATTCAGCTTCTGTGTCATATGAACACAAATATGGATAGGTCCTGAATTGTCTGCTGAGCAGAATTCTACTAGCCTTATTCTAATCTCAAGAATTCGTTTCAGGTCCTATGTTCCAGATAACTGAGATTCATAATTAGTACATGCACAATGTATTACTGGAAATTGTATGCAAGTAAAACCTTTTCAAAAATGCTTTCTATCTATAGGGAACAATAAAAAATGACTCAATGAACAGTTCTTAATGATCACAACACTGTCACATATGAATACTGTAACATGATAAAATGGTGGGTGGGGGGAAGATAAGAATGATGTAACATGTAATTCTACAATAACAAATTTAGGCTTAACCACACTTTGCCATAGGAGAAGGTGTGGCAAATATATATTTGATGGATAAACACAGATTTCATCTTCAGTTTTCAAAACACAACCTTTTCAAATAACGACATCCTGCCTAATAAAAGAAGAAACTGTGTGGATAGGAAACATAACGAAAGGAAACAAACACATTAGCCTGAATTGATTATTGCTGGAGTGCATTTTTATGATATTTCCCAAAAGAGATGGTGCAGAAAGCTAAAATTGAACTAATTCACAAATTAAGCTGAAAGTATACAGTAGAATAAAGTCTATGACAAGCCAAATAATAATTTTGTGATTTGCCAAATCTCAGGGAAGAAGAGATGAAAAGAGGAAAAGTAGTTATTTTAAGCATCTCAGTTTAAAATAAAATTAGGAGTACCTACTTACAAGTGTTTGTTTAGAAATGGGTTATCCTTTCATATGGAATTCTGAAGCCCATACAGGATTTTTGTATAGTTGTAATATTATAAGGCAAAAGATATCAGTCTCTAATTTCACAGAATGGTTTGGAGAGAAAACTCAACATTAGTTTCTGGAAATAAAAAAAAAAGTTTATTACTTCAATTACTCATTAAAGATGAGTTCACTGACAAAGTGGGGCTTCCCTCATAGCTCAGTTGGTAAAGAATTCGCCTGCAGTGCAGGAGATCCCGGTTTGATTCCTGGGTCGGGAAGATCCGCTGCAGAAGGGACAGGCCACCCACCCCAGTATTCTTGGGCTTCCCTGGTGGCTCAGCTGGTACAGAATCCGCCTGCAATGCGGCAGACCTGGGTTCGATCCCTGGGTTGGGAAGATCTTCTGGAGAAGGGAAAGGCTGCCCACTCCAGTGTACAGTCCATGGGGTAGCAAAGAGTCGGACATAACTAAGCAACTTTCACTTCCCACTGACAAAGTTAGTGAAACCAAAGATAATGAAATTCAAAGGACCTTAAATTAAGCAAGACAACCCCAATGCTATTAGTTTTATGTATATATGCATATCTACACACATACATACACACATGTATTGGTCAATTTTATTTTGAGTCTGGAAAATACCAATACCAGTAGGACTGTGGTAAGTTCAGGTTTGCTTTTTGGAACAATGTAGTATTTCTAAAGGAAATTTTGGTTTCTCGAACATGAGTTAACTTTTGATATGCAAAAATTAATTTTTGAAATTAAGCTGACAGTCATACCAGTTTATAAAGTCTTCATCTGCTTCAAAAGTATTGGTCCATTTCAACAGTATCTATATCACAACATGACATTAAATTCAAACTTTCTAAAATTGAATCTTCCTATCCTTTCAATTTACCATGAACATCAGAAGGAAAATAGGGCATATGGAAGGAAAGTGAGGAGAGAACGTATTAATTAATAAAAAGGAAAAAAAGGAATGAAATTAACAGAATACATCTCTGTATTATTCACTACAGGTAAAATCCTTGATAAATTTCCTTGCAAGAAGGTAAAGGATAAATTTTCTATAACTGGGCATTATAGAGTGATTTCTGGTTATGCAGTACACTTAAAAGGTTAAGTAAATTGTATTCCTAATTGACTAGTAATTTAAAGTTATTTAGATATCAAAGGATATGGACATCTTTGTCACAAACTTATCATGTGAGTCTTCAGGAGGGGGAAAGATTTTCAAATCTTTCTCAAGCTGTTGAAGTTGCCTTCCCATCTGTTTCAAGTTCTTTTCCAGGGTTTCTACAGAAACTAAAAGAGAGAATATTATACGCCTTAAAAGGACGAAATTATAATATAAAAAAGTAAAATATTCTAGAAACAAAACACATTAAAAACCTTACAATAATAATGAAAAATCCATGAAAATAAAGGAAAGGTGAATTTCACTTAAAGTTTTAAAAACCCTTTAATTTTTAAATCCAGAAATGAAGAAAATAAAAGATTTTTAAAAACAGGAATATTTTGGTAAAGCTCACATACACAAACCACGTATAAGAAATCTTTTGTTGAAAAATCAAAGTCCTTGACCTCTACAAACACTACAAAAAAATCAATTAAGAAAAAGATGGAAAAGAAAGAGTATGTTTTTAAAATTAAATCTATTTCAATATAATTTGAGCACTTTTCAAAATGATGATCTTTTGAGAGGGGAAAAATGTACAAAGAAAAGATGGGGAAACTCTGCTCTTTTGTTCAAGGTCACCTACATCAGGAATGAAAAGATATCAGGAGTTCTCTGAGTACCATGGGAAACAAATTTCAAACTTTCTTTACTGATACTCTGAGAACAAGTAAACTCTGTTTATTAAATAATAAAGTGTTTTTGTGTATACATTCTTGCCTAGTAAAAGTCACAAGTAATCCACATATAGCTAAACCCAGGGGAATACACTTAAGCATTCTGTGGATGAATGGTTCGAAGGCAAATAAATTATATTTTTAATTAACATTTAAATTAAATGTATTAATACACTATTGAAAAAAATCACTTAAAATATTATGATTAAATCACTGATCAAATTTTACTACACATAGACACACATCAAATCTGGCAGATATCTAGAGGAAAGACGAACGAGTCTGAGGAACTCCCATGTAACAAAAAGCACAAGGCAAACACTGGAAAGAACATACGTGGATTATTTATTTTTTTCTGATATCTGATACATCAGTCCAACACCACCCACTTCTCCAATACCCACTGGTGTCTCCCAATTCACTGACACTCATTGCCTGGAGTTAGCCTAGAACCCACATGTTTAAGGACTCAGTCCCATAAAGACTGCCCTCACTTGACAGGGCAAGTTACGGGGATCATCTGTCCTTCTAACCAACAATAAATTCAAGGGTTCTCATACGCTCCCCCTACCCCATTTATTTTCTATTATTTACTGGGATGACTCACAGAACTTGGGGAAGTACTGTGCTTGCTGCGACAGCTTTTATTATAAAGGCTCTAGCTCAGGAATAGCCAAACGGAAGACACACACAGGGCAAGGACACGGAAGGAGGGGCTGCCTGACGCCCCACGCTCTCTGGGCGCAGTCCGTGCACGGCCTCCCGGAGCACCCACGCGCTCACTGTAACACAAGGCCCGTGTGCCTCTTCATCTCGGAGTCTCAGCGAAGCCTCACAGCACAGCTGCGATTGACCCGGTCACGGGCTCTCGTGCCTGACCTGCAGGTGAGAGGGAGGGCTGAAACGTGTGCCCTCTGGCCTCCTGGCTGGCGCTTCTGTCAACCAGTGGCCCCATCCTCAAGTTCCCTAAGCTGGCCCTGCTCCCATCTGCCCCAAGTCATCTCATTGGCGCACAAAGGCACTCCTGCTCTAACGAGGATTTTAGGAACCAAGACAAAAGTCAAATGCATAGTTTTTCCTCTGTCCCATGGATGCAGCAGTGTGCATCTGGCCAGCAGGCGGGACCCCAGTGCCTGCAGGAAGGCTGAGAGGGGCGCGTTTCTGATCCACAAGCTGTCCTCAGAGCTGCCCCGCAGCCGAGCCTGTGCTTGGCGGGGGCCGGCGGCTCGTGGCTGGAAACAGAGCTGTCCCAGGGAGTACGTGCTCCTCAGGGGGTGGGAGAAGGGCTTCAGGTGGTCAGGGAAAGGCTTCTTAGCGGATCCTGGGAGCCCTTCCCAACTCATTGGCAGCCAGCTGAGTCAGGGACAATGGTCTATCACCACATGAGCAAAATAGGAGGAATCTCGCCTCATATTTTTACCTCACTGATATTTCATAAAGATCAACTGCTATAATATAGGATGAAGAATTTTTTAAAAATAAAATGGACTAAGAGATGTTAATCTTATTCGGACAACTCAGTAAAAATGCCTTAAAGACTGAAGCAATACTAAAATCAAAGGAAATTAAAAAAAAAAAATCATCACAACCATCATCATTGCCAGGAAAAGTGCTATAGAACTCTGGCTAAAAAGAATAGTTGGTAATTATAAGAATAAAATGTTTGGGATGTTAGGAAACTCAGGAGCACATTCAAACATCTAAGGTTGGCATCATAAGGAGAAAAAAGTTGTCTTACAAAATGGTTCTGTAGCTACTTAACAGATAGAAATCCCATTAAGCCGTTACCTAAGCTTCATCAGCACTACCCAATTACATTATTTGTACATTATACTTAAGACAATTTAACTGTAACTGATCAACTTTTCGGAGAAAGCAATGGCACCCCACTCCAGTCCTCTTGCCTGGAGAATCCCATGGACAGAGGAGCCTGGGAGGCTGCAGTCCATGGGGTCGCTAGGAGTCAGACACGACTGAGCGACTTCACTTTCACTTTTCACTTTCATGCATTGGAGAAGGAAATGGCAACCCCCTCCAGTGTTCTTGCCTGGAGAATCCCAGGGACGGGGGCACCTGGTGGGCTGCCGTCTATGGGGTCGCACAGAGTCAGACACGACTGAAGCGACTCAGAAGCAGCAGCAGATCAACTTTTCACTGCAGGTTTTTAAATAAAGACTGAAACCACAGTTGGAAGAAAGAAAGGTGTGTGCAAGTTCTATGTAAATAAAATACAATTGAATGCCCAGGGCCATCTGATGGATAAAACTAAAGAGGATTTAAGAATGTCCTTGGCATTCTTCAGTAATTATATATACAAAGAAACTACCCACATACATCTTTGGACATAGTTTAACCACATAGTTTAACTTGAACATATCTCAAGTTCTTTGAGGTCAGTAACAATAATTTTTGCTATTAGAAGTCCCAACTGGAGCAGAGAATTTTAAATTGCACTCCTTGAAAGTGTTAATTTACTGGTATCTCTGTATGTGACACATGTGAATTTTATCTTTCAACTACGTCACATTTGTTTTTTTTTCTTTCACATTTCTTAACTAATAAGTTAATCTTATCTTCTTATTCCTTTTCATTATTTAGAAGTAACAAAATACAGTCATTATAAAACAGTTGACTAGATATTTTTAAGGCACTTTCAACTTCTGCATTTTACTCAGTTTTCAATCAGATGGGATATCCCTCAGTCACCTTAGACACTGTGTTTCGACCCCCAGCCAACTGCCCATCTGCAATCTCCATATGACTGTGGGCAGTAGAACCATAATGCTGTCTCCTGTGCTGGAAACCTGCTAGTCTTGACCCTTCCTCTCCTGAACCCTCAGATCCAAAGGATCATGACATCCCTCACATGGTACTTGACAAATAAAATCTACCCTTGAACACCACTCAAAGGATCTGGAACACTAACCTCTTCTTTGACCTCTGGTCTCCTACTGTTTCTCTCAGAGCCATATCCAAACTGTACATGGAAATTTTGAGACAAACATTAATTTAAAGATACCATAAGAAGAAGTGAAGTCGCTCAGTCTTGTCCGACTCTTTGCAACCCCATGGACTGTAGCCTACCAGGCTCCTCTGTCCATGGACTTCCAGGCAAGAGTACTGGAGTGGGTTGCCATTTCCTTCTCCAGGGGATCTTCCTGACCCAGGGATTGAACCCAGGTCTACCGTATTGCAGGCAGATGCTTTACCATCTGAGCTACGAGGGAAGCCTAAAGATAGCCTACCTCTGCTTAAAAACCAGACAAGAAACTCCTTACACAGCAACATCAGAGTTCCACCTACAACATGGTCCTATTTCCTAAACTGCCACGCTTAACTACCAAATCAACTCCTAGTTTGATTCCATCCAACCCCTTTTATCTATTCTGTACCTGATGCCAGAAAAAGTGTGTCTGTTTGCTTTACCCACTCCACCCAAGTCACTCCCGTTCACTTTTACAGTAAGAGGCCAAAACCCCAGACCGGCCCTGGTGACGCGCCCTCCCGCCTGTCATGCCTGGCAACTAACTGTCTCTATCTTTGCAAGGAGGACACCCATTACTTTCAGCATGTGCCTTCCTCTCCTAACCGCCCAGGGATTCCTGAGGGGAGAGACCTTATATTTTATGCATCTTTGCGCCTTGGTTTACATAACACAGGGTAGGTACTCAAATGTTTGCTGAAAGAATGGATTTTGGGTTTAACTTTAACCCCTCAAGAGGTTAAAACATTAAAAAGGGGAAATATAACAGATTAAATATCTAAAACTTTAAAAGCTAAGACACAGACTTTTCTCCAAGTGGCTAGTCATTTTGATAATTATACGCTAGAGATGTTAGAAAAGCTCTAAATAAAAGTTAAAATCACAACTATAAATATTTAGATTCAGAAATCGTGATACAGAAATCATGTATATAGGTTCTCTGCAATATAATGTCCTCTATGATTTACCATGCTAAGATTTCAAATAAAAATGGAGAAACTGCATACATTTATATAATCTCTATAATTAAACAATAATCATCTATGACTATCTCCTGGAGGTGTTGGTCCTTATTTCATAACAAGCTTACTAAGAAATGTCACACTCATTCTTACATACCATGATACATTACAGAGGAGATGAAGTCTTTGAAGAAAGCTTTAAAAGCAACAATTACCAAAAAACAATGTAAACATCCAAACTAAATTACCCTTCCTATTCTAGACACAACTGTTCTATGAGAGAAACTAAAGCCTATAGCATTTAAAGCTCCAAACATAATGATTTTTCCTAGACAACTGTAATAATAAAGCTTTAAGAGTATTTCACAAAATGCATGTCAAAAATAATACACTGGATGGACATGATGGATAAAACCTTCAGTAGCATTAAAAAAATCTTTAATATTAAGTAGGCTGAAGACAAAATCTAAGTTCTAGAGTATCATTATAAAATGCATTATGTTGAC